TTCCTCACCACATCAAGTTAGCCGTTGCTCAATCTCAATTCCTAAGGGCACAGCGACTATCGTCTAACCCCATGATGCAAGCCGAGAGCGAACAAAAAATACACAAACAACTGCGCATAAATAACTACCCAGACAGTATCATATCGGAAGCAAGGGAAGCTGCCAGGAAACCTCGGCGTAGACGACGCGGTAATCCCCGCTCTGCCTTCCTTAAACTACCGTTCAAGTCCGATGAAGTACACCACCATGTGAACAAAGCAATACGGAAATACAAGTTGCCGGTACGTGTCGTATACGAGCACTAGCTCGGGCAGCCTCAGGCGTCAACTATGCCGTTCGGCGCTGTTACCACCCAAGTGCGTAAACGAGCCCAACATTACTGAAAAAAGACGGAGAGGACGTCCACTAGGGCCTTGCATTACCTGTCAGTCTGGAGGCGAACGAGTATGTATGACAAAGAATGTAGTCTACGAATTGCAATGCAAATGGTGCCGGGAAACGTATGTAGGGGAGACGGAATGCTCCTTGGAAACAAGAATTCGGGAGCACAATGGCGAGGCACGCCGCCGCACTCTCGATAAGCCATGGGGTGACCACGTGCGCGACAAACATTCTGGCGAGAGTATAGCTGCTGCGGATAGTGTGTTCTCGGCTGTGTCAGTCCTGGCAAGGGCAGGCGACAGAGCAAGCAGAAAACTGCGAGAAGCTGTTGAAATCCGCAACTTGCGGCCGCAAGTAAACACTAATGCTGGCTGGGCACTACTGTGAATATATCGTATCTGGATATTAATATATCACCAATCCCTTTCGCCACCTTTGTAGCTGACACATTTGGCGCAAACACAGCACAGCACAGTATATTTGCTGCTCCTTTGTAGAGTGCACATCATTGCAAACCTGATGAGGGCTATATGCCGAAACGTTGTTTTAACTACGAAAATGTGTTCGAACGTTGCAGTGTAAATAGAAGGGAGCGAGTCCGCTCCATCTGTAAATCATATTACTGGTACTACTAACGTTACTACTGCCTTCACTGTACTTGAATACTTTCATCTCAAAAGTGGAAAGTCCTGACCAAACAAATCTGTTTGTGATGGACATTGCACACAATGTGACATTGCGGCATTTTGCCATTGCCAAGGCTTTTTTTCTCTTTTAACATCTCCATATATGTGGGCCTTGTCTGAATCGCAATCCTACACAGTTGCATCGGGCATGACGCTCTGATCAGGCCCTCGGTCATGTGAGTGATCTTGCCCGCGGTCGCGACGCCCTCGGGGCTACGCCCCTTGGGCGTCGCGACCTCGGGCAAGATCACTCACAGACCTCGGGCCTGATCAGAGCGTCATGCCCTCGCAACTGCGTAGGATTATGTATTTCGTGTCAGGGCAGTCATAAATTTACCACGCTGTACTGTCTGTACACAATGTACGTCGTGTCAACGTCATGCATGTGCGAATTCTGTTTGCTAATCCGTCTCATAACGCGAATTCCGTCACTGAGTTCGACTTTCCTTGGAGAGCGAACGCGAACGCGAATTTCGTCTTGCTAATCCTCCGTATTATGCAAGCTGCAAGTAACTTAGTTTCTTACATGTATGAACTAAAAGGTGCGCAAAGTATTACATGTATGAACTAAAAGGTGCGCAATATTCGAGCAGAGTTCCTCACCTCGAATTGTAGCAATACTCCAGTTGCACGACTTGTCGTTACGCCGTGTCGTGAGCTAGCTGCACGTCGCGGACCGGTCGACCATGCGCTAGCCTACTATACTACGCGTCTCCGGCCGGGCCCGCATATCGCTGCTCGCCATGGCCGATGCCGATGGGGTTATCCGTAGCTGCATCCTCGGGCTTCGCGTGCTTTGAGCAGGCAATGGAGTCGCGCGGGTCATGACTGTACATGTGACAGGAGCGTGGCTCAGCTACTGAGCTAGTTTTGTAGACGTGCATTACTAGTATTCCAGGTATCCTCGCATTGGCATGGCTCGAAGCTTGCCGCTATCCGATATTCGCGGGAAGAGGCTAGTTGGTGAGTTTAGGGCACGGCTTTCGTTCAAGCCGTTCAACCTGTCCAAGCCCGGCGGTTATACTTTTTATAGGCTGGACGCTTTCTGGGTGCTGCGGGTTGTGCAGGCGTCGGAGTCGGAATGCAATCTACTCGAGAGCAACGAGAGCTGGCACTCAGCGTGAAGTACTTTTGGGTTGAAAGCAGTTGGTCTTCTGCTAGCAAGACAAGCAGGCAGAGAAAACGCTGTCCCGGATGGCTGTCGGATGGTGCCTAGGTGGTGGCCTGGTGGAAGTCGACTCAACTAACAGGGGGAGCAGAATAGACCGACGGAGACCTAGACCGCTGCAGTCGAAAACTTTGACCTGCGGCCTACACGACTTGCAGAGGAATGATGAGCGTAAAACAAGCCGTCACCGGCTATGGACAGTCAGTGGTGAGATTCGAGATAGGAGTGAAAGTAACTGTGTACTAAAAACTTACAGTTACGACGCTTAGTGTCGCCATCGATACAAGGATTGTATCGATGTCATGACCAGTAGATCTACACACCATGATGTAGACACCTCAGACCTCAGACATGCCCATCGCGGAAGCGATGATAGCGAACAGCTATGTTAGACATAGCAACTTGTGCTGGGATTACACCATTCAACAGCTTGCAAGGCTGATGAAGACACACACGCACGCACGCATCCAGTATCAAGAGTACATAACCCGTAGACTCCACTAGACTAGTCACAGTGTGCTGTATTTGCCACCCATGGCATGGTGGTGGCGCACCATGCCATGGGTGGCATGTGTGAAACTATTACTTATACTATGGGCGCTTTCGACTACACGCATTTCGGTCAATTCTAGAATTAGTTATTGTTGATGCACAGTTCGATTACACAAAAAGTGACAAATTCCGTCGTTAGAATTGATTTCATCCAATTCCGTCGAATCCATCAATTCTGAAGAGAAGGCGGAATTTCTCTAATTCTGGCGCCAGAATTGCACTGTCGGTGTGTTACTGGTTTGGTCATGACTCAAGCGCGCGAAGAGCCTCCCTGGCCAGCGTGTGCGCGATGCTAGGTCCACGTGCTCGCGATCGATCGCGAGGGTGTACGTGATCTCTTTTTGCGATTCATCAACTTCGTTTGTGACATGACATGAATAAAATGCGTTGTGAATTCCAGTCGTTCGTTTACAAGGCCGGAATGCGCTCATTCTGGTCATTCCAGAATTTTAAAAAAACAGTTCCAGAAGTGTGTAAACGTGTAATCGAAAGCGCCCTATGATTGTTATAGCAGTTATGTGATTACATCATGGCTACATAATAATTATGTTCTGATCAGGGAGTCGTAAAATACCTACGACTCCCTGGTTCTGATCAGCGGAACATGCTGCCTTCCCAATAAATAAAAAATAATCATCAGTTGAGATGCTTCGTCGAAGTCACGGACTCGCGACACAGCATTGCACTTTATATAGCGACTCACGCTCCATACTTGGTGCCCATTAGAAAATCCACCGACTCACCCCATGATAATCATTCGCACAAGCAGCTATGGTACCATAAGAAATCTCCCCTGACCCTATTATTACAAAAAGCCTACTATTACTCAGTACTACTAGTACCTCGCACCCGCAGTCCGCTCTGCCCCCCCCCCCCCCCATAGCAGAAGAAAGCGGCCATGCTGCATGGTATCAGAAAACAACCAGAAAACCCTACACGGCTACAGCCCGTGGGAGTTATGTACTCTCGAGTACTAGGGAGGTTTAGTTCCCACGTAACGGAAACGCGTACGTGGGTGATCCACGTAAAGTGGATGAAGGGTACCGACGTTGCAATGTTGTGTTTAGTCACACGGAACAAACAAAAGCATAAAGCGAAAGGTCCAAACCTGGTCAAAGACGAAGCTACCCGGGCCTAAGAAGCTCATCCAATATTTTGATTTCGTGCTTCGGAAACTTCTTCACCTGAGCACCCTCACAGCTCGCACAATGCGCTCCGTTCTGATTTTCACCCACGTTTTGGCGGAACGTGGGTGAGCCTCCATACACGGTATGTCGTGAATCAGAAAACGTCTGTACGTGGGTCACTGAGTATCACGTGGTACACACACGTAAAGTACCCACGGATTACGTGGGACTAAACCTCCATACTATCAAGAGTACAGTTAGTTAGGTTATGTACTCTTGCTACTATACATGTACCAAGGCAGTGGCAACTGAAATCCGACCTCAACTAATGTTACTTGATGCGCTCTCATTATTGCAAACACCCAGTACACGCCTGTAACACTACTGAATAGAGACGGCTACGAGCAATCAGTGCTGCACTCGAGCATGTGCACGAAAATCAGACCCTGGATAAAGAGACCACATTTTGAAGGTTCCTTGAGCGGTCGTCTTAGACAGGTTTCACTGTACTAGTTGTAGTACTCGGTGGTGTAATATTTCCGGTATTCTCCAAAATCGGCAGTTCGGTGGAGCGAAAATTTCGGTAAAACCCGTTTTTCAGGTACGTGTACTACCGTACTGGCAATATATGTTGCCGCGTAACGCGTAACGCAGGGGGGTGCGGCGTAACGCGCGACCAGGCTAGTGCGACAAATTTTCGTTGAGTTCGTAACGCGCGTCCGGCGGGGTGCGGCGATCTTTTCATTGCAGTTTGCACTGCACAAGAAAAAATGATGCGGCAATAGCAAAAAAGTGATGCGGCAATAGCAAAAAAAAGGACTGCGGCAATATAGAAACTAATGTAACGGCTCCTGTGCGACTTTGCATGTAACGCCCTGCGTGCGGCAAACATGTGCCAATGTAACGCTTCATGGCCTCACTGCGGCAACATATATTGCCAGTACGGTAGTAGTACTGAATATGTACAGTACTGGTAGTGCTGACATTTTCGGTAAAAACTGTCGGCACCGAAGTTACCGAAAATAAAACACCACCGAAAATTTCTGCTTTTACAGTACTCAGAAATTCAGTCAGAATGACAGAAAG